GTTCTCTGGACTTGGAAAAGGGATTGCGAGAGTCCTCAGATTTAATCCCAGATCAGGACATATCAGGACCTGAGAAAGTCTGGTCAAGATCCAGACAACAAACGGCAAACCGAATTGCTGATTCAAACACAGTCAAGTTCTTTTCAAGATGACCAGCTGTATTTGATATTTCTTAGAAGTTCTTAGAAGGATAATTACATTGGCTGGGGGGGGCAGGGGTCAGGACTAGCTGCTAGCTAGCTGCTAGCTGGTCTCGGATCATGTCGAGAAACTCTTTGTTTTGAACAGTGCCAATGCGATTCGCCCTAGAAATGGCAGATTTTGGTGGATTTTTGCAAGCACGACTGCGTGGACGGGGGATCACAGGTCGGCGACACTAGTATGACTTAGGACGGAGGATCCCATTTAGGACTGAATGCATCAGAGGAAGTCAAGTCACAGCTTTCTTGGTATCAGCGGAAACAAAGCAGCTGTCATGGGAGTAGAAACCTCTAAGGCCTTGGAAGAAGAGCATAAACGCAACTTGGTCGAGATTGGTAGATATCTAGCCCAGAAAACCGTGATCCCACGCTAGGCTTCTCCTGTCAGCTTGCATATCTTGCCATCAAAGATGGTCTGACAGCAACGTCTGTGGTCTGAGGGCACTTGAATCCGGAGTCCGCATCTTGTGGTGGGGTGGACTTTCCCCATTGGCCTCAACTCAAAAGTTCAAAGGCTTGTAGCTCTCACTGCGAAGCTACAAGAATGTTCAGAAGGTATGAACTACTGGCTGCAAGAAGCCCGAAAGCCACAGTCATTCGGTGTCTTCGCCGGGATGCCCAAGGCATTCGATGTGCGTGTGGTCTTTTTTTTTTTCAGAGGCCAACTGCGAAGGCTTGGCTTGCTGAAAAAACATGATGCGCGGACTATTCAGGCGAAATGCCTCGTTGTCACATCTTCCGATGCTATCCTTCAAGTATATCAGTATATCCGATCAGCACAAGCTTCCCGCCTGAAAGTGTTTTGGAAGTTGACCTGACATTTGTTAAGGAGATGTCCATTCTCTTTCACCCGGGATCTGTGCTTCTTTTTGGGGCCAGAGCATCTTGGGATGCCTCAAACCCCTGCTCGCCAGCCAGACCATGTCACACCTACTGTATTTGAATACTTGATTATATGAGTCTTTTTAAAACAAACAACGATGAATGGACAGTCAATCCTTTGCTTGGTTTAGGGTCAAACATGACCACGGTGAAAAATCAGCGGAGAACAAACATCTACTGATGAAATAAGAGAGGTCGTGCCACAGATGTTGATCCATCAACTTCATCGCTTGCCCACGTCCAGAGCTAGTTGCTCTAGTCGTTGCTCTAGTCGTTGCCGTAACTCTTCTCAGCAGGTCAGGAGACACTTCCAGGTTTCCTGATCTTCCCTCCTTCCCTTTCCAAGATCTTCCCTCCTCCACCCTGCAATCCCACAGCTGACAGCACCTGGGTACCTTCCCACGGTGTTCCTCTCATTTCCACCGCATCCGGCAGGTCTTGCGGGAATGGCCGGATGGAAAGATCATCCAGGCAGGGCACCACCGCACACCCCACCTGGCCCCAATCGATCTACGATGACACCCTCCCATACCCAAAAGATCCCAAAAGCCTCACAGTGCAAAAAAGTGCACGTTCCAAAACAATCCAAAACATATTTGAAGCAAATGTGAAACCTTGGCAGGCACGTGGCGCGCCGCGTGCGCGCCGCGTGCGCGCGGCATATGCGGCATGCGTGCGCGCATCGGTCACGAGGCCATTGGCTTTTCACGCTTCGAGGCGAACATCGAACCGCAGTTGCAGGCCGTTTGGCCGTTTGGGCGGTGTCTTAAAGTGGGACGTGCAGCGAAGACGTTTGCCAACGAGATTGGTTCAAGACTTGGATGCCTATAGGCCCATATATGCCCATATATATATATATATAAGGACGGGGATGGAAGATAGTCTTCGGCAAAATTCTGCAAACTCATGTGTTCCCGTGTTTGTTCAACACATAGTCCCTGCACGAGAACCGCCAATCACCGACTCTTTCCAAGGTTTCGAGCAAGAACGCCTATAAAGTATTCAAAATCTTTCCCAAACGCTTCGTTCACTTCGCTTCATCCGATCTGGTCAGGATGTCTTCATGCAATGCTTCTCCGATGTTCTCCAGCTCTCTCCTCAGCGATCGATCGTTCTCGCGGGCGGCGTCCCAAACGTCCAAACGTCATTCAGGCCGCAACATGGACATAAGCCCATGCAGCAGCGTCGCAGACGAGAGCCTTGGCTGCGCTGCCAGCGGCCATATGGTTGCAGGATAAAAGTGATACAGTTATCGTAGTGAAGAGCATCAGCATTGACAAATCGTTCGAGGACTGCTTGTCAGTGGTGCTGGTCATGCGGTTAGATAATCTTACATCACCAGTATACCTTGTGCATCACATCCTAAAGTCGCAACTAAAAAGTGAATTATCTCTAGGTTGGCTCGAAGGCCTCCTTGCCTTGCAGTGGCAATAGTTTCTGGTCATTCCGTTTTCAAGATCTTTCAATCCCAGGGGGTACTGTGCATATCCTCTCATGTATGCAGATGCTGGACACAGTTTGCCTGTAGTATATGAGTCCTTTTGCAGCATTCCTGGAACTCAGCGCCCCTACTGAGGGCTTGCGTCACTCCTTGGGGAGCATCAACGTGGGAGAGCTTCGAAAGCCCTTAATCTTCCTGGAGGACGAAAGCAGGGCCCGGCAGGGACTGGTAGAAAGAACCCTTGCCGTTTCGTGTGGAGGAAGACGGTTCTGCAGTTTCCAGAGGGATCTCGAGGGTCACTGGTCATTCAAGTAAATGCACTTAAATTGAATCAGTTGAGTATTTGTGTGATGGGAAAAAAGCTCTTGGATGGTGTCTTGGAGTCAGTCCTCATATAGGGTTTTGTATGGTTCTGTCATGAAAATCAAAAGATTGCAATGTTAAAAGCTTGAAACTTGCGGATGTGCCAGGTTTCGACTTATAAGCAAAATCAACAAAATCCTACAGATGGGGCTTTGCCTGCTGATTGTTTGTTGCACATGGCCTCGGGTCATGTGCACTTGGGAAATCTCAGCTTCTCCATGGGGCACCACTGGCCACCTTCAGCGCAGGATGTGCAGCTGCCCACGGAGGAACTGCATCGCACCGCGTTTCCCCTGGAGGCGCCGTTCTTTTTTTCGCATATGGCCGGTTTTGGGTCAGAAATCGAGGGAGAATTCCATGTGAAAGATTCGCAACCTTCCCTCAAGACAAGATCCAGCCGGGTGCAAGTTTGAGCACAAGTTCCAGTGTTGCCATCCAATAGCTGTGGAACAAGTTGCACGCGGAACAGCTCTTCTTTTTTCTCCAGGAAGTCTTCGAGCGAAACATCCTTTGGCTAGTGGTCATGTCAGCTTGCAAAGTCGCCGGGGGCCTGAGTTCTTGACGGGCTAGGTTTTGCCTGCGCGAGATGCTGGGTGTCTGGTTTCGGGGGTGGTGAGACAGTATGAGAACAGGTCAGGCATATTCAGGCATGAACTATATCGGGACGCAGTTAAATTGTGTGATTTTCCTTTGGGGATCCTTAAGCTATTATAAGTGCAAGATCATGAAGTTCCAATCCACTGTCATTGAGGCTGTTTGATGACCTTACTCACTATATCAAGTATACTGATTTTTATACCTTGAAGGTGTGGAGTTTGATGCCAATAACCTGAAACCTGAATGACCTATTTTGGACCACCAACCACCCCAAAAAATATGTTTCCTATCAAAACAGAGGTCAAATAGGTGGAATATGAATACAAATTGGATGGACCAGATTCCCGCTTGGCCAAACGCCATCGACGGGCGATCCCTGGAGGACTTGACTCCGGCGCCCAGTGGCCTCGGCCAGGACCGGGCGCAGACATCGGTGACTTGTTTCAGCCAAAGGAACCTGCAAACGCACATGAAGCACCACTGACCACAATGATCTCCCTCAAAAAGCTTCCAGAGCAGAGTCCTCGAGTTTGAAACCTTCCAAAAACGGGAATCCTCCAACAGTTTCTTCGACCACCAGAGCATTGCCAAGTAGCTGGATCCTCCCAATAGGGATGAAAAACCTCAATCCGGCCAAATCAAGTCCTCCACCCTCCACCCTCCCCCCTTTACGGTTCGCAGAGAGCGAACCGCGTCTTCAGCCCGCACCGCGCGAGTCGTCTCCACTCGCTCGAGTCGTCGAGGAGAAGCCTCCGTCGATCAGTTCGGTTCCGGGTGCCTTGGAGTCCTTGATCTCTTCCATGGAGAGGAGACCGGAGACCGTTCGTCACACTGTCCACATCAGCCAGTTTGGGCCGGGAACCATGCGGTGGAACACCTGTGGCGGAACCCACGGTGCAGCGGTAACTAAGCCTCTGTGTGTGTGTCGGTGTAGCTGTCTCCTCCCAAGCGACTGAGCGACTGTGTCATGACAACGGACAGAGGGGGGTTGTTGGGGGGCGTGTTGGTGAAGGAAAGAAAGAATGCAGAACGGGTGGAGATATCTGGAGACGTTTCAGTTGATTTCCCTTTTTTTGGACCTATAACTCAGGATCCAAGAGTGTGTGCAAAAGAATTGGGTGGAGGGTGACGAGACACTAAGAAGGTTGATCAGGGATAGCGGGGAAGGTGCTTTGTAATGAAGGTATTCTATTTGCTTGACCTGTTTGAACCCATGCCAGGCGCTGGCTTCAGCCATTTGTCACTCAGAAATCTCGGCCGGAAGAAAGCTTGTCCAAAACCCAGTCAAGTGCCAGTCCACCCAATCTCAACAATCTTTTCCACACTCGAGCTGCAGCTACTCTCAACCCATAAGCTGCAGCACGTGTCTTGACAAACATGTCGGGCCTACAAGAATGCTACCGCAATGTTCGCAGATGGAACAAAGCTTGCAGCTAATCATGCTATATCATGCTAATTGACGTGTGCAGTCAAGCCACATTGCCACATTGCTTGTTCAGTCTTCTTCGCTTCCAGCCATGGATCTGCAGCTTCCTCCAGTCCACCTTCAAGCTGCCCAAAACCCTCGCCCTCCTCCCTTGCGTCGCTTCGCTCCAGCCGCCACGCCTGTCGCGGACCACCGGCGCTCGCTGCACCGAACAGCACCGGCCTTTGCGCCAGCCTTGGCGCTGGCGGGGCTTCGGCGGCGAGGGCGAGACGTTGGGAAAAGGAGACGGGCGGAGGAATCGGAGGACGTGGAGAAGCAGGAAGCTGAGGTACCCACCAGGCGGATGAGAGGGGGTGGAGAGAGGGGTGAGAGTTGGTGTGTCAATGTGCTGTGTTGTATGGATTATTCACACGAATTACATCAATTACATCTAAGTGCCTTAATATGGACATCGTCAACAATACCAAACCAAAACCGATGTGTATACTATATGCAGAACAATCGCCTCAAAGCACAAAAACACTTCACCACAGTGGCCTCCTCACCCTCCTTACTCACCCTCGCATTCCTCACTCCTCACCCCCTTTCAACCCGCAACCCTCACTGACTCCTCACCCCACATTCAATCCCTGGTCGTTCCACCTCGCAGGTGGGAGCTCCTGCGCTTCGCGGCGCCCCTGGCCGCGGTGAGCGTCACGGGGCCCATCCTGTCGACGATCGACACCTCCTTCGTGGGGCGCTGCGCGGGGACCTTGGAGTTGGCGGCCTTGGGACCCGCCTGCACGGTGCGCTGGGCGGCAGTGAGGAGACGAGTGCGGTTTGCGCGCAGAGTGGTTGACGGGGGGTGGAGGTGGCACGGGTTGTTGGTTGGGTGACCGAGAGGCGGGCGACCGAGCGGCTGGTGGGGAGGCACGTAATTAAGGGTGTTATCAGTGGAAGAGAGAGCGGAAAACACGTGGACCATGGGGAGGGATGTGGTTGGCGGTGTTTCGTTCCTGGGAAAGCGATGGTGGTTGGAGTTGGATGGTTGGGGGCTTGATTTTGGAGTTTCATGAATGAGTTGTGAAGTAGCAGGAAGCATGGGACCAGGAGTTTGCTCTTCAGACTTAGTGTTGAAGGACATGTTTAGTGTCAGTTGTAAAATTTGGTTTGGGTCTACCCCATAGTCTTTAATTCACACCGCTTCGCGGTCGAAGCCGCCCGCACAGATCGCAGTCATTTGAGAGAGTTTATGTTTCAAGGCGTAAAGGTCAATATTCAGGCCATCCGATGGTTCTGGGTGGGCGGAGCGCATGGTGTGGGCATCAAAAACTACAACCATTCACCTCATCCAGTCGGACTGGGCACACAACCGAACACATCCATGATATCAATCGTACAGTGTCCCACGGTTTGCCTAGACGTTTGCGATTTCTGCGATGTCCATAATATCTACCTATCTATCTATCGATCTATCTATCTATCTATTTTCGATTTGTCTGTCTATCTGTCTATTTTTTATCTATCTATTTATTTATTTATCTAGCTATCTATTCAGCTATCTGGCCGTCTATCTACCTACCTATCTATCTATCTGTTTATCAAACTATGTATCTATTTAGCTATCTCTCCGTCTATCTACCTATGTATCTATCTGTCTATTTATCTACCTATCTATCTATTTAGCTATCTCTCCGTCTATCTACTTAGCTATCTCTCCGTCTTTCTACCTGTCTATCTATCTATCTATCTATTGATCTACCTACCTATCTATGTGGCTATCTCTCCGTCTATCTACCTATCTATCTATCTGTCTATCATCTATTTATCTACCTATCTATCTATCTATCATCTATCTATCTATCTATCTATTTATCTGCCTATCCATCTGTTCAGCTATCTGGCCGTCTATCTACCTATCTATTTATCCATTTATCAAACTATGTATCTATTTAGCTATCTCTCCGTCTATCTACCTGTCTATCTATCTGTCTATTTATCGACATATTTATCTATTTAGCTATCTCTCCGTCTATCTACTTAGCTATCTCTCCGTCTATCTACCTATCTATCTACGAGACGTCTGCGATGTCGTCAATGCGGTCCGTCCCGACCGGCATAACCGACATCGCCAACGTCTGGTCCAATGCCATTGGCTTGCCGAGACGTCTTCGAATGTCTTCGATGTTGATAATGCGAGCTGTCCCGACCAGCATGGCAAACATTGAAAAACATCCCAAGCTAAAGCTTAGGATTTATCTAGCCGGATTCCTTGCGATGTTTACACGAGCCCACACAACGCCCTCGGCACCTCCGGTGCGGGCGGATTATAGTATTTAGTCCTTTTTGCGTTTCATGACTTGGCTTCCCGGCTGTAAATTTCAGAGAGGGGTGACTGAGTCTTTGTTCAGTCTTGAAGGGAAGTGGCCCAACCTGAAACATCTTCTAAATCCAAGGTGACCGATCTGATCTACCTGATTTGCAGCACCATTTCAACTGCTGCCATCAACCTCTATGCCGGAGTTGGGGAGGACAGGGAAGGGACTGGAGTTGCAGGGTGGAGGGCGCCACCAGAGCCGGAGTGGATCCAATTATCACGGTCGATCGATGTGCCTGGTACACTGTCCAAACCTCGAACATGTTCATGAAATATGTAATTATCTAGGTTGGAGGTTAAGCAGGACTGTGTCATGTACCATGTACCAAGTCAGTTTATTTAAAACACATTGACGCGAGAAAAGGGACAGAAACCGCTCCCTCAGGAGGACACGAAGCGGAAGCGCTTCAACGCCACCTGCGTGTCCGTGGCCTTGTGCATTGGCCTCACCGGCGCCGCGGTCTCGACGCTGTTGGGCCGCTTCCTCCTCCAGGCGCTGGGGGCCACGCCAGCGACTGGGACTGGTCCGGGCCTGCCCGTGGAGGATGGGGTCGGTTGGGAGGTCCTTTTGGTGTTTGGGGCAGGGGAGATATTTAGCAGCTATATTTTCCTCCAAGTCCATGACCTCGTTAAACTTGTCCATCTCAAAATGAAGACACTGAACACTATTAACTTTAATAGAACCTAGTCCCATGCAGTTGGGGGTTCATTGTTCATGCTGTGCTTCAAATCTTTGCAGACAACCCAAATTGATGACACTGCATAGATCTTGACCTCATGGAGTACTGGTTTTGCACGACTGGACTGGATCCACTCAAAAGGGGGCCCCTCACCTGTAGGGGATGAACACGCATGTGCATGCATTCATTCCTCACTTCCCTCGTCGTGCGTCGGGATGCGGAGAGCAATAATAGCTCACCACTGGAAAGCGTGGAAGCCTATTGTCGAAGATGAAGGTGCACATGGCTGGGATGGACACGCAGAGGGGACGGTGCTTGGGCCAGGGTGTTTGATGGCAAGCGGCTAAGCCAAGAACCGCAGTATACATGAGCTGATCTTGACGTGGCTGTTTCCAAGCTGAACAAACAGGCCCGGGGTAGCCCCAGCGGCCCGGAAGATCATGCCGGACTCGAAGCCACGGGAGCATGTGGTCAAGGTGCTGAAGGCAAGGCGTTCATTTGGTTTGGTTTGGATTTGCTTAGTTTGGTTTGACTGTTTTGTTGTGACTTTTCTTTTTTGTTTGTTGTTTGCTTTGTTTCGCTTGGATTGGTTTGGTTGGTTTTGGTTGTTTTGTTTTGAACTTTGTTTTTTGTTTGGTTCGGATTGGTTTGGTTTGGTTTGGTTTGGTTTGTTTGTTTGTTTGTTTGTTTGTTGTTTATGTGTTTTGGCTAGCTGTTTGTTTGCTTGTTTGTTTTGCTTGGCTGCAGTGCTTTGTTTTGTTGTGTTTGTTATTGTGGTCGTTGATTGTTGCCATGTCTATTGATTAAGCGTATTACAGCCTGTCAGGCGAGGGCTGTTCGATTTTAACAACAACACACAACCACAAATACAATCACAAACGCAGAAGAGATTTTGTTCCAGACGCTGCTGCAAGAAGGGGGTCAAGTGCGCTGACAAGGACGTGGCATTTGCTGAGATCCTTGCAGCTGCACAGACCAAGCATTCGCCTATCAGTTCTGGTCTTTGTGGAAGTGCCTCCAAAATGAAGATTTGTGCAGCCTACCTTGACTCACTGCAAGCTCTCTTAGACCCAATCCCCAGATGGTCACTGGGTATTCATTGTATTGGGGCCCACAGCTTGGTGTTTGCTCAAAAGCTTGGCACAAGTGCGCTGATCTTTGGCCAACTGACCCTTCCTTTGTGTTGCAGCTCACAGCTGGGGCGCCCCAGTCCAACACTAGTACCAGCCTTCATTTGCCACTCCGCCTTCGGTCAGGGCCAGAAGGAACGGCCCTGTGCTGCACAGACACCAGTTGCCCGCGCAGAAAGGGCGACGAATCGTGACCAGATGATGGAGAGCTGGATTTGTTCAACGTGGTGGAGGATGATGGAGAAGAGAACAAGAAGAGGGTGCAGCGGTTGACCAGCTCCAGCCCATAGTCTGGCACTACTCGTGGGAAGGCCCACGCAGCATTTGTTGGGCCCACACCATACGCATATGGATCCCGCTTCTACGCAGCCATTTTGCAAGATCGGGATGGTCGAGACCGCCTCATTGATGCTGGCCATTTCCGTGACGGCTGATCCAGGCGCTGCAGTGGCGGCGCGGCAGTTCCAGAAGAGCTGCGCGTTCTTGGTGGACCGGGCGAGGGACCACTCCTGTACCTTGCGTGCGCGTTTGACTTGAGTCGCATTCTTGTGACGTTTGCTACGTTTTTTGGTGATGGCATGCTTGCCACATGTCACGAACACACAACATGTTCGCAGCATGTTATTTTTGTTACGTTATTGAAAGGGGGCCGCGCCCCATCTTTAGGGTCAGGTGCAGTTTTGCGCCTGTATTTTTTTGACGTGTTTGGTGGTTCCAGCAAGGCCATCATGCCATGCAGTTGGCCTTAGAGATCCTGTTTCGGAAGTGTTTCAAGCAGCACCAAGCGATTTGTGGCAACAAGAGATTCCAGCGGGCGCAGGAGCTCCAACTCATCTTGGCGAAGGATTACTCCTACGAAGAGTCGGCTGTTCAGGTGCAGTTGCTCCCTACACGCACACACACAGAGGCTTGTTGGTGGGAGATACGATACCCAAATAAGACCCGAACCAGAAACCGTTCAGATCAAAGCATACTCAGCCTCGCAGCACCCCTAGAGGTCTTCGAGGTAAATAATACGGGGGATGACCCTTTGGCTGGGTGGAACTTGATGCCTGCCAAGCTGTTTGACAACATTCCAGGACTTCTGCAGCAAGACTAAGAGCTGGAGTCGAACCATTTGTTGTTGAGCATGTGCCGTGGTTTCGGCTCATATATCATTTTATATCTCTTTTTTGCGGTAGGGCGGGTTGCCATGCTTCAGGTTCTACCACTGGTGGTCAGGGCATCCAAATGTCAATCAATCTTCAATCGTGAGTGTGCTTTGCTGCTCTTTGCGCCAATCTTGTTAGGGCGTGTGGACTTTGATCTTGCGCTCTATTTGTTTTTTGAATATTCAGCAAGCTGCAGAGACTGACCGTGGGTGCTTTTGGACTTGTTTGGTGAAACCTTTCACTCATGCAAGTTTTTGTTTTTTGTGGCGACGATTCAAGTGCTACCGCCAATCCGATATGTATCAGTGACGTATAAAGCCCTCTCCAAGGACAGACCTTGTCAAAGACGGCGGCTCAGCTTCTCCCCCCATGCTCTGCTTCCCAGATCTTACACCTACTATAGGCTGTGTTTGTTCCATGATGTCAGGTGTCGCACGATCTGCGATGTATTCTAGTGCATGTGTCGTGCTGAGGAGCACGAAGCAAGACGTTGGCCGGAGCTTAATGCCTTGGACGCACAGCCCGAGAACGAGGTGTTCAGGCGCTCGTGTGTGCATGTGAAGGGTGCCGCCCCGGACCAAGACTTGTATGCTGTCTTGTTGGGAGCCTTGTCCTTTGTCAACGACTAGACTGGCATCCGATCCAGCCTGAATGCCATCCTGAAGATTCAACCAGCGAAAGGGCCATCGCTTTGAAGGTTCAGACCAGGAACGAGTCAGGAGTTTCAGCCGGCAGAGAGCTACTCATAGACTATGGTGCCTCTTAAGATCAGAAGCTGGCAAGCGCCAAGATTGTGAGGCTCCGCTTGAAGTGTGCAAAGGCATGCGCGCGCAGGACAGTTTGGCTCTCTGATTACACAGTGCATTCAGGTTGGTTACTCATTCTGCAGCATCTTCTTGTCAGGAATTTTGATGGCAAGCGGCCTAGCCAAGAAGCGCAGCTAGGAACCAAGAAGTTTCAGTTGGATGGCAAGTGGCTGAGCCAAGAACCGCGCTAGCATCACTACCATGAATTTAACTCGCTGTAAATTTTTGTCATTTGTGGCAGGATCGATGTGGATGTGGCGTGGCGACGATGACGTGGCACGTACAGGCAGTTTCGACATCTTCTGACTACGATCGTGTACTTAAAGCTTGGCCACTTTTCGCACCTCCCATGGCAAAACATGTGAAGGTTCCCATAGAACATCACTCCAGGAGGTAACGCACCATCTTTTATACTGAGTTTTGTGACTTTTTCGAGTGCTTTTCCATCAATTTTGGCAGGATCTATGTGGGCTCCTGTGGCGACGCTGCTGTGGATGAGACAAAAGGGTGTTGTGTCCGACAAACAGGATGTTCAAGTTAAACCTGACTCGTTGAACCTCGTTGAACCAGGACTTCAGACTTGCAGGGTATTACACCAATTACTATATACACTCAAAACCTAATTGAAGCATATAAATGCATGCTTTTTGGTGTGTGTGTGTTTTATAGAGGATCGGTCATTGCTCGGTGGGAGCATCTCTTGAAGGGCATCGATGTAGTTATTAGGTTGGTGGTTGGTTTGCTACATGTTTCGGTCAGGGTTGGTATGTATTGGTTGATGATTTTTGAGGTGCCATGTTGGTTGCTTTGTAAATGCGCAAAGCTGCCACCGAAGGCTTTCCAAGGAGTTCGCATTTTTAGACGTTGACATTGAGAGGACGTTTTTCAGAGATGTTCGCTGAGGTTAATTGCCGTAGAATACAAATCGTAATTGAGGCAGTATGGTTCCGTGTTGATTATGCTTGATTTTGACGGGCTAAATTTTTTGGTAGAAACCAGTAACCTAGATGCCAGTTGGGTAGCGAAATTGTAATTTTCTATGATATTGCTGTTCTTTGACGAGAACTGTTTGCATTCCACGTAGAGGGTCATGAGAGTCACCACTCCGCCGAGTGAAGGCCGCAGATAAGAAACTGCTTGCAAGAAGGGAGACACTGTTGAAGGCTTGAAGGACCATGATTTTCAAGCATTCGTGTGAAGACCCGCGACTTAGGTGATGATGGGTGTGGCGCAAAAGTATGTCGCCACACGTGCAGTTGGCTTGCCTTTGGCGACGATCGCCTGTGCCATGTACGGTTTGTGCGTGGGTAAAGGCGATACCAAGACTCCGTTGATCGTAACAGCTCCTGGGACAGGTTTGGACAGGCTGTTTGTGTGAGTTCTTGTAAAGAGATCCAGAGTAAATCGTAGAAACCTGCAATAGTGAATGTTGACCCGGAATGCACACAAACAACCTTTTGAGCCAATCCCCACTCTTTGCATTGCGTGCAGCTATAAGAGGCGCAATTTATTAAAACAAAAACAGTGAAAATTCTCAGAGGTTTGGTACAATCAAACATGCTGACTGTTGATAAGACCATTCGACTGGGCCGTTTGATTCATCAGTCAATCCATGTCAATCCTCTTTGACTTCAAGGGACACTTCTGAGGTCTACCTCTCTGCGGTGCTCAACGTCTTCTTCGACTGGCTTTTGTGTGCGGTGATCCCGTGGGGTGCCGCAGGGGCTGCTTGGGCTACCGTGGCTGCCCAGGCTTGGTGGACCAACTATAGGCTGCGATGGGGATCGGGAAAAGGTATTTTGACCCCTCTTGATTGGTATTAATGGCCAGGCCCAGAATCCATTATAATCCAACATAATCCAATTATAGATTGATCTTACATGAGGGTCCAACGTGGCCATCGATGTTAACAAGGTCCAATACGGCCCGCATTGCCATCCTGTTCCATCCAAAAACAAGTGATGGTCACCCGTCGGAAAGCGCATTTTTGTTGCTTCAACGTCGGCTAGGTGGGGAGTTTCGTGGCCTACTTCACCATCATGCGCCGAAAGAAGCAATTGCCTTTACCCAGCCTCAACGAGTTCTGGCCATCCTGGGCTGAAGCGTGGCGTGGGTTTGGCATCTGTGTTTTGACACCGTATAATGTTGATTAGATGTCAACTCCCCAGATAAAATCAGATACAGAGGTGTTAAGGTGTTACAATCTAAGTGCATGGAACGTTTAATGAATCAAGAGATCTACATTAACTAGTGATCCACATGTGAGAACGCAGGGCGCTGGCCGTGGAAGGTGACTTCAGATTATACAGAAACCCCTCACATCCGGCAGAAGCTAGGATTTCATGATTTCCCAAACACCCCCCTGAACCCATGGGACTGCCGTATATGCCTACATTGGGGTGCTTTGCGGGGTCTTTCTGGGGCGGCATCTATTCCAGTCGCAGACAGGTCGTGTCTGGGATGGGACGCCTCGTGTATGGGTCGTCCCCCCGAACCATGCTGAACCCATGGGACATCTCCTGCTTCTAAAGAGAGTTGTCTGAGGAAACGAAGCCCATCCTCTCCATCTACTTGCCCGTCTCCTTCATCGTGGTTTGTGTGCTGTCGATGTATGCAGCCATGTCGGGCTTCGTGAATCAAACGCAGCCCTTGGTCATGATGGCTGCCTACAAGAGCCTTGGTCACGGTCTTTTTTACCAGCGAACTCCGGTCTACCAGCGGTTCTCCAGTTTGATCAGGTGATGTCAGGAGAATGGTTGGTGTTTCTGCGCCTGGTCAAAAATTTGTTTTGCCGCAACACCACATTGATATCATTTTGATGCAGCTTCAACAAAAAACACACCGGTCCATGTCATTCCCCCGTCCACATCCAGGGCATCCCACCATTTGAGTCCGCGCACTTCCATACCATACATATTATTCCCTTGGGTCGGAAAAAACACCATATGGAACTGACGAATCTGCGCTGCCCCTGTGGTGCGGCCCGAGCCCGACTGGTGCGTTCCGCCGATGCCGTTGACGCGGCTTGGTTGCCCTGAAGTAGAACTCCGCCTGTTGGGATCGTGTCCCGTGGCCTCAGTTTTGCTCAGTCCCGGCTTGTTTCAATCTCCTGCACGCGAATTGACTCCAATCACTGCACTAACTGGAGACTCGAATCCAAGATTTTGAGAAGAATGACAGGTAGAGTACGTCCATCCCCATCTATCCGTATTCACTATCCACTACCTCCATCCATCTTCCCTCCATCCATCTTCCCTCCATCCATCTTCCCTCTCCATCTATCTCCCTCCACTACCATCCACTACCATCCACTCCCAGGATTTGGATCACCGTCTTCGCCTTCTTCGCCCTCTGCGCCGATCCCATGGCCGCTGCCACCTCCACGAAGCTGCCGCCGTTCGTCCTGCGCCGCTGCCGGCGCTCCGCCGAGCTCTTCTGCAGCCGCGGCGCCTCCACGGCCGCCGGGGTGGGCGTGGCCGGAGGCCCCAAAACGGCGGAGCCCAACGGAGGGAGGGAGGAAGATCGGGGTGATGGATGGTGGGGGGAGAGAGGCAGATTGAGATTGAAGTGGCTGGGATGAAGTGGGGGCTGCAAGGTCAAAACGTGTGTTGACACAAAGAAGCTAAAGGTATGTGTAGATATGTGTAGGCTTCAAGAGTTTGCGCTTGACTGCTTCGAATGATAACAGTTGATACATGTTCTAAAACACACATTTCACTGAAAGGCCCCTTGGGGGCCTTTCACTGGAAAGAAGAAGCCACCTGACCGGATCAGTTCGTGCAGGGCTCCTGGGTGCTGCCTTGCTCTACTTCGGCGCGGGAGCCTTCACGCAGGACGCGAGGGTGATCCAAGGAGCCAAGATCGGAGTGCTGCCCTTCGTCTTGAGCCTTGGCACTGGTGTGATCGTTCGGATCGTGTTGTGTATAAGACGTGTTCGGATCGACGCACATTTTGGATGCGTGGTGTCAGGCGTCATAGTAAACATGGTGCTAATGTGTTTTGGTTTAGGGAGGCATGCAGGCTCCAGCTTTGCTGGATGAATGAACTCAGATTGATGCTTGGAAATCCCTATGATCTTCAATCTTTTTGGAGGAATCCTCCACTGAACACAGAGTGAACAACTCACATGACAGGTTGGAGTTTCTTGGTTTTATGTGTATGATGTGTGGCGTTGTCGAAAAAACAGGTTGGTCTTGATTTGCCGCCACTGAGGATTTTATGCATCATGCATCCAACGAGGGTTTGTCAGAATTCCTTGGTAGTGCATGGGGATCTCTCGTTTTACGTGGTGGCCCAAGTCTGCTTGTCCGGGCTCTTCTTCCTGGGCTTGACTCTGCTGGCTGGGAGGCAGAGCCTGGCAGGGTCCTTCCGTGATTCTCCAGGGGTAATTGGATTCAGGAACTTCGACTTGGGAACTGGATCTAGAGGTCAAGTTATCAAGTTCTCAAGGGAAATGACGTGACTGACAGGGTAAGATACTATAGTGTAAGCTGTCATTTCAATGGTTTCCCGCCAGCCCTTGCTGGCTGAAGGCTGGTCTCGGCCCCTCGGCTTGTTTTTGTTCATCGGATTCATTCTCAAGTTGGCCACACACCCTTGGCACGGAGTTTGGCTGCATGCAAAGCAGTGTTTTGTGACTAAACAAAAGCCATTAATGATGATTTATTGAAAAATAACTGCCTAGCTATCCATGCCACAGTGCAAGAAGCATAGAGGAGAGGAGGTAATTGAACATTATTTACCGACTCTCTCGCCACGTGTTTCTCAAAACAGCGCAAAGCAACAAATCTGTTGACAAGGGGTTGGTTTCTTTTGTTTGCAAGGCTGCTAGAAGTCTTGGATCCTCTTTTTCAGACTTACACGAAGTGCCTTCACGATTTGCGATGATGACGATCGCATAAGAGCGCCGCATTCGCAACAGCCGCACATTAAGACAATGTAGACCGACCGTACCTCGTTTGTCGGTTGACCTTCTGTTCCGACGACTCGGTCGTCGGTCTCACCAGCTCCACGCGCAGGTGCGAGATTGGCAGCCTTTCAGCGTACCGCAGTATGATGATGGCCACCTTCAGCTTCTATGTGGCCAGCCTTTGCACCTACGGCGCGCGTGTACGGCACCTGAATCGAAATTTGGACACCAAAGGCGACCAGTGAGCGTGTGCCAAAGCTGTGCAAGTGCTTCACTGGTCCAGCCTGTCACAAAGCGAACTCTTTGACAAGAGTACCAAGATGGCATGAAAGAATGGATGGAATATGATGGAATGTTCACTTGCTTGATCTTTCGGAGGTTTGAATTTATAGCAAGGGTGGGAATTTCCCGTAATGCAGAAGACGTGTGTTGTATGTCCAACCAGCCGTCACACAACCATGGAAGGTCCACTTTGAAAGATGTTGAAGTGAGCAGAATGGGAAAGTCACCGGAAGAAATGGATTAGAAGAGGACATTTTTGCATCACATTATGCTTTGTTCTATTCACCTTGGTCTACGTAATATCTATAGAAGTATATGATTGACACCTCCATGAAGCCGGGTTTTTGACTCTCAGAGGTGGATCTTGTTTTTCCAGGGCCCCTCTGCTCGGTGTCGGACGGTAGGAGCAACATCCTGAGCAGTCTCATCTTGCGATCCAGCAATTTGAAGGATGGCCAAGGACAAATGCCTCCTGTTTGCAAGTGGTGCAGAAGGAAAAACTCTGCAAAAATTGACTTGTAGTTGTTTGCATCAAGAAGAAATTGCCATATGCATGCAGAACGGGACTTGATTCTAAAAAAAGGAGAAAGGCATGACCCGTCCATTAGGGTTTGATACAAAGATATACTACATATACAGATTTGTCTTTCAGTCCTGCTCCTTGGCCCTTTCAGACACTGAACCTCTTGAAACCGCGCTAGACATCGAGACGTGGACCCACACGGACTCCCCAAGGTTCATGGGGGAAACCTGTAGACGACATACAAGCAGAACCATATATAATATAGAACCATTAAAACCTGATATACTTGCACACATATTGGACACCTGTATTCCACTGGGTCTCTCATCTTTTTTGGGGGTGAACCTGATTCCTTTGGCCGTTGGCCGGTGTGGCTCCTGAGGCTCTCGGGCGCAGCTCGGTGGCTCAGAACGGGCGTTTTTCGTCGCCGGTGACGCGGTGACACTTTCCGCGGCGGTGGTGACGCGCACGCGATGTCTTGAGGTGTCTTGAGGTACCAGATAGTGGATATGATCAGCTTAACGAAGCATCTGACTGGACGCATGTTACTGTTACAGGTGACATATTTTTGTATTGTATTCTACTGGATGCTATTCAGTTGTTCATCATGAGACACTCTCTTTTGTGGCTCTTACAGTTTTCTTCCATGGGTGCCTAGCTTTGGGCGGTGATCATCACCAACGACGAACGTCATTCTTCCGACTCCGCTTCGGCCCTTTCGACTGCGTTTGTTCCATCGGCCAGGTCGCCAAATGCACCACGTTGGGAAGCCCCAGGTTTCGGAGGGACCTGGGTCCCACAGAGAGAGGTTTGGAAGTCTTCAGCAGTGGTGACAGTGACGTGACACTGACCGTTGAGTTTTTCTCAGCAGCCAAGAGATGTGAGGTGACGGTGACAGTGAAGTGGTTGGAGATTTCTTTGTAATTTGACATCGTGATTTGGCGCGAACGGCGACGTTGTTGGAGGGACAGGGTTGGGTCAACGCTTGGATGGTCTACAGCGAGCACGACCCGGTCTCCGACCCGACCCGGGCCGGCCGGAAACGGGTCGGTGTCGGATCGTCGAGGCTGAGGGAGCTGGATCTCAGTGACAACCACCTGGGCTCCAAGGCAGTGGCCAAGGCTTTTGGGATCGGAGTTCGCAGAGAGAATGGATGGAGTAAATCTACCTCCGGGAACAGACTATATGGAGAATCAGATACCATGTAATTGCCGTCGATTTCTTTTCTTCTGGTTTTTGCTTAGTAAGATTGGATACCAGATCTTGATGTTTTTCCTGCATATTCCAGGTTCTGGACACTCTTTGACATCTTCTATTTGGCAATGGCTCATCGGGCTCTCAAACTCATTTTCAATTCATCATAATATACTCATTATAGTCTCCTTCCGGATTCCAGCGGGAGAAACAACAGCTGGAAACTGGACCTCCAAGCAGCCCTGACAAGTTTCCCCTCCTGTCCGTGTTTCGACAGCATACCGTTCGCACTTCCTGTCTGGGTGCCCTGGACCTGGAGACCTGTCTGGACGTAGGGTAGGCTGGTCCAGCCAGGTGACCCTTTTTGGAAGCACCTGGTAGCCGCATGTTGTTGGACCTTTTCGGATGAGGCGAATCTTCGTTCCTTTGGACCTTCTCGTAAGCCTTTTTTCTTTTCCATTGATCTCCATGAGTTGGAGAGGCAGTGATCTCCTGTTTAGCTATAGTCATTCCTTCTGCATCCCGGCGACGTGACACAGTTCAAACGCACGGCACGGTCGCGACACCAACAACAAACGTGTCATCTAGAGTCGGACTCTCGCGCGAAACGGTCCACTGTGAGGTGCTGCAGGCTGGCCGTGATAATCTGCAGATCCTGGATTTAAGTCAGTGGCCTTAGAGCCCCCTGGGGGGAGGAGTCACCCATCAAAGGACAGTGGCATTTGCTGGGTTCTATGATTCTGAAGGCTGTTAGGGTTGATGACTACACTCCTACACATATACTCAATACCGGCTGGGATTGGCTGTCAGGTGGTCAGCTCATGGCTTCAAGTCTATGGTTTCTGACGGATGTTGAGAGAGGCCCATACATCTTTGTAAAGGTCATGTGGCGAGTGAAATTATGTTTCTTGGAACAACTCATTTAAGGCCGTGTCTCTAACCACTAGTCACAGCATTAATGGGTTTGATGGATTTGAGACGAGGACCATCACCGAAGCCAGGAGATTCACTCACACGTGTCACATTCCTTTTGTGAAAGCCGGGCGGCATACAAACCGAAGCCAGTCAGTTTACAAACCGAAGCCAGTCAGTTCCACCCACACCAAGACCCAAAACCAAAGAGTTGGTTTGAAGGGGTTCCTCTTGTCATCCAATCCCTTTCCACTATCCTCTCATCTTGTTCTAAAGGAAAAGCCGACTCACACCCCAACAACCTTGGATCAGCTTGTTTTCCAACCGAACCATTCAACTTGAAGCTTGCTCCAATGAATCCCAACCAGTTCCCCAATCCATTTTCCTCTCACCACACTGTCTCACTCCGCGCTCGCTCCGCGCCCTGCCCGGTGTCCGCCATCCTGACCGAGCCGCGGAACGGGCGGAACGGGGTCAGGTCGCAATCGCCTGGGCGACGAGGGCGCTCGGGCGTTGGCCGATGCTTTGGGCAAAGGCGCCGTAGTTTGGGGGACGGAGCGCGCAGCGCTGGCGGGTTTTTGCGGTGAACTGGTGTGGTCGGGGGAGTGCCGGTGGAGTGAAGGAGGGGAGTAAAACCAAAAAGGAAAGACCAAAGAAGTCCTGATTGAAGCTTCCTGTTGAACTGCGGTAGTAAACCAGTTAACTGGAGGCTGACGTGTTATTATAGTTGATGTAGTTGATCAATTTCAAGTTACTTGTTCATCCAGAGCCGAGCAGCAAGCACATCATGCAGTTTTTGTTTATCGACCAGTATAAATAACACCATGTGTGGCGGTTGCGAAGAAGAGCTCCGCCAGGTCCATCTTCGGGCTATTCGCTGACGGTGCTGCGGCTGCGAGGGAATGGTGCCCTGGAGAGAGAGAGAGAGAGACCCCCTAAATACGATGTTATATACCGAGAACATCTTAGAAGTCATTTGACCTTTGTTTTGATGGGAAAAGACCCTTTTTTGGTTTCAAAACAGGGTTCACTTAGATTCTAGGTATATCTTATATTGCAACCATCCTGTAGTATAGATAGAGTATGACCAGTTTGCTATTGATTATTGGATGCTTTTAGTTTCTCCAATATTCTCTAATGAGTATGCATGGAGGCTTGAACAAGGTCCTTTCTTGGAGAACCCCCCTGATGTCTTCCTTGGGAGGTATCAGCGACGATGGTGGAGAATCACTGGCAGAAGCCTTGATGTCAGCTGCCTCAGCAGTGGGGGGGAGCTTGTTCCTGGCGGTGGAACATGTGCCACATCATTTGGTGTAAAAGTTTTGAGTGAATTTAAGCAAATTAAGAATCATTCAGCAGTGAGTGGATGGTCGTTCGGCACCCTGATCCGTTCGTTCGGCACGTAAAAATTGTTTGTTTGTTGAGTTGATCCAATCTGCACAGCTCCAGGTCAGTGACCACTTTGCTGGAATTCGACTTTGCGGAGAATCAGGTGCAGGATCTCCCTTCGTAAAGCATGCATCTCCCGTCTCCCGTTGTCCCCACACAGCACCTGTTTTTGGGGATGGGACGTTCTCCCAAAGCAAGTCAGGGCTTTGTATACAGGGCCGGCAGTTTCGCACTGCAGCAGCACACGTCAATCCCACTTTTGAATACTTTTGAGAGTTGACACCTGCAGGTATTCCCTTGTTTTAACAAAATCCCAAACTGTAGGGTGTCTCTTTGTTTCAGATTGGTGCAATCCTTTGGACTCTCCAGATCTTCAGACCTCTCCAGCCCCCAAATATCGGCGAAAACATACGCCTTGACGGCTAAAAGAAACACGGCCATGATGGCACGACCTGCTTGTTCGCCCCTCCCCTTTTCATCCTTTGGAGGCCGATCATCTCCTCGCGAGCTCCTCCCTTGCAGACTCAGTATCCAGACCCCATCCCCTTTCGCGGCGACCTCGGCCTTCCCTTCGCGGGGGGGCCGATCATCATCTCCTCGCGGCTCCGAGCCGCGGCTCCCGCAGATCAGCGTGCAGACGGCGGCCTTGCTCTTCCGGGCGACCTGCGCGGCCAAGGTGCTCAAGAGGCGCCACACCGGCGGGCCCCCGGGTGGGGTGGGAAAGAGGGGCGGTGGGTGCCCCCCAGTGTGAAACACGCTTGGGTGACTGGTGAGAGGCTGCACGCAACAGTCCAAAGGCGACTGGAGTCCGGTGGAGAATCAGCCCCAAATTTATGGCTTCCATGGCTTCCAACATGAAAAACACAGTAGTCTGAAACAGGGAAAACCAACGAGACTCATTTGGCTGGTTTGTTCTGCACTTGAGGTGCTGGATGATTTCATGTC